CGCGCATGCTGTCGACCCAGCCCGCCGGGTCAGAGTATTCGTCAATTGCAGCAGGCAACACCACCCTTGCACACAGCCACTATGTGTGTTCAAAGTCTTTCATGCTCTGAAGATTGAGTTTTGAGTCCACAATGCATCAGTACTTGCAGCGATCAATTACAGGCATCATTCAATACCTGTGTGGGAATTTAGACAATTTCGAACGCACCACTAACGAAGGCAGGCAGGGTCGAGGGGTGGCGACCTCTGACTGGGGACCGTGAGAACACGACAACCGTTCACAGCCGTGCAAAGGGACAACAGGAGTCCTGGCCCTTGTATCCACTCCGTTCATCACTGCCCTCAATGCAATTCCTAATGCCTCATCACCTCTGTGCGGCCAGTTGTTGTAACAACACCCGATCAGCTCTAGTTACAACACCGCCAGCGATTGGCGGTGTGTCCCTCCCCAACTCGTATCCTGACGTCGGATCACGTGGCTGGTTTCAGACGGACTGATTCCATGCCCACCCCACCACAGGGTTCACACACCGCGTTCCATTGCTGCTGAACCGCGCACACGGACGCGCATGACGCATCCCCCGGCCTCGTAACCCCCTCGCAAGCTCGACAGGCCTTCTGCCTGCATGCCTGTCACAGCACGCGGACACCCGCGTCTGCCCGCCCCACGTGTCCTGTACCGCAGAGCACAGCGCAGACGCGCACCAATCCAGTCCCACAAAACCGCTTTGAGGGGGGTGTGCGGTTTTCAGTCGAGGGAGGACCAGTTAGTCGGTCCGCGGGCGACTCGCTGCGAGGCTCGCGCCATTGGCGCCGCGGCGGCCGGCGGCCGGCGGCTGAGGCGCCAAGGCCAAAGCCTTGAGGAGGAGGTCAGGGAGGAGGCTGCCCACGGGGGGGGGCGCAATTGGGAGCAGGTGGGTGATTTTGGCCAAGTCGGGTGGGGTGGATGGGGTGAACGGGTTTGTGCGTGTGTGTGAACGAGGGATAGGCGATCTGACTTGAGGGGTTCAAATGGGTGTTGGAAGGGCGCGGGGGTGGGTGGGTGTGGAGTGTTCCGGAAAGGGCTTCGGAAAATGGCGGGTGATGTTGGGAGTGTCGTGCGGTGTGGGGAAGGGGGTGGGGGGGAAGTGGGTTGGGAGCATCGTGGCGCTGGAATTGCGGAAGAGGGGATTGCCTCTGGTGGGTTGGATCTGGAGATGTGGTTGCAGGCCGCGGCTTTCCGTGTCGGCCCGCTCGCGGCGATCTGACGATCGGGGGCGCTTGGGCCCGCTGAACCCGACTTGGCGAACGGGGGTGTCCTGAGCGTGTGTGACAGCAATCGATCGCCGTTGCGGGGGGCATTCAAAACAAAGGCGATGGCGCATCCAGAGCACGGCGAAGTTTCGGAGCCCGGCACTCGTCGCGTCGGCGATTGATCGGCTTGAGCCATAGACCAAGACGGCAGCGGATTGATACAGTGCTGCAACGGCGAGCTCTATTTCTTGCCCGGTTGGAATCACCAGTCTGGGATCGGCCGGAAAGGTCCGCCCAGTCCGTTCACCTTGCTGCGACGCGGCAACTCGGAATCTTTGGGCCATCCTCTGGCCGAGTCCGGCGTTGCGATCAAGCATCTTTTGCTCCAGCGCCGGTCGCTGGCGCCTCCCCCTACGTGCGATATTGCCCCAAACTCCGGGACTTGTATCTAGGGCGACCCGTGAATAGCGCGTGGGCAGATCCTGTGGGGCGAGATCGGAGGGCTGTCAGAACTGCGCGTGAACTTGCGTCTGAGAATGGCGCCGTTGCTGTTCCATTCCAGCAGCTTTGACCTCAACACGATCGAGCGCCGGTTGGAGCGCGGCGGTTGGTGGCTGTGGCGGAAGGGTCCAGGGAAGGGAGAATCTCTAACGGGGAGACGTTTGCGCTGTCGAGCGGCGCGGGATTGTGCGGAACGCGGCGCCGGCAATCGGCGCTTGGTCCTGCCGCGGGCTTCCGACAGCATAAAGGGGAATGCGTCGATTATCAGGCGTATCGAAACAGCGGGCTGAGGTGTATCAAACCTTTCGGTGCGTGGCGGTCTGCACGGCCCGCAGGGCTGTCGCGGAGACGCACGAGAAAAGCATCGCCCCCCGGGCATCCGATCGTGCCGCGACCGTTTTCTTGAGGGCGGCCTCGCGAGATTCCGCGCAAGGTCACCATGGTCCTGTTTGCCCAACTCCGCCGAAACGACTCGGAAGTTGGCGGCAATCCCGTCCAATGCTGTGCGCCCGTCTCGCCGATCCGACTACGTTGAGCTTCAACAGCGCAACACAGCTAAGCGCAGCATCTCCTGCTGGCAAGCTCCAGGGTCCGCCGGTGCCGACCCAGACTCAATCCTGCCTCAGCTCTGCGTGGGGTTTGTGCCGATGAGCACGCGGAATGCGTCCAGTGCCGTGTGCCCGTCTCGCCAATCCGATTGCGTCGATCTCCAACACAGCAACACCGCGAAGAAGTGTGTCTCCCTTCCCCCCACCAGTGTGTCTCCCTCCCCTTTTTCCCAACACGATCTCCCCCTGAGCCCAGCCTGGGCCCACCCATCTTCTTGTCGGCTGGTTACCAGTGTGAAAGTGCGCAGGACTGTCGTCTGCGTTCTGGCTGTTTGAAAGATTGTCGTCTGTAGCTGTTTGAAAGATTCTCTTTGTGGCCGCAGCCCGGGCCGAGACCTGAGGCCCCGCGGCCGCCTTGCACTCAGCGGGCGGCTGCCTTGGGGACATGGACCGCACGCCCCTGTCGTCTCTGGCGTCTCCCAGGTCCACCACTAGCACCCGGACTTCCCGGTCGACGATCTCCAGGCCGGGATGGAACTCCGCCAGGAAACCCGCCTGGGGCAGCGGCCAGCAGAAGGCAGGGTCCGTGGACGGCGGCCGGCCGGGGAGCTCCTGCTCGAACCGGTCGTTCCAGGAGCTGAAGGGCTTCGACCGTCACGTGAAGAGCATGTACCACGCTGAGTGAGTGCGTGGGAGCGGGGGGACATTGATCTGATTGGGCGACTGCCGCGTTGTTGGGCAAATTATCCAGAGTGGTGGAAGTGGGTTGTGGATGTACGCCCACGAGTCTCCATCCAGTGCGCAAAGTTAGGAGCAAGGAATTTGGTTTGCTTTGGGCGATGATTCTATTTACTGTTGTCAAAAGCTTTGAGCAGCATGCCCTTGGATCTGCTCAGCCACTTGTTATTGCGTTTGCACGTTGTAGCATCACATTTTTCGCATCGAGGCGAGCTGGTTAGGGAATGAAAATCACACTGGAATATGAACAAGACAGTCCTTCATCAATCCGGCGATGTCATGCAACATTCACAAAGCAAACAGGCAGCAACGACAAATCAGCTGTGGCCACGCTTCCCCGAACACCCGATGAGCTGCCGATGGATAGTCTTGAAGCAGACATGAATGGAGCATTGGAAGGAAATGCAGCTGTTCACGTTGATGCGTGACAGAGCTGCGAAACTCAGTTTGGCAGCTGACCAGCGACCAAAGCAGGTAGTTCAACAGGTTCACAAACCTGACAAGAACACTGTTTCAAACGAATGCGCTGCTGGGGGTATTTGGCAAGCACTTGGCAATGCACTTCACGATGCGTATGACGCCTGCTCCTGCTGTCGATGTCTGGGGATTCCAACATTTGATTGAATGCCCTCCAACTGGATATACACAATAAGTTTCTGCACTTTTTAGGCACGCGGGGTTTGGTGTGTTTGCTTGACAAGCACTGAGGTCCTTGCAAACCATTGGCACTGCAGGGCAGCCTGGTCATCGTAGTGCTGTGGATGCTTGTGCCATGGCCTTATTGTCATTTGCCACATTGCATGCAAGGGCACGCTCAGGCCCCTTTTGATAAAATTCACAATAAGAAGTGTTATCAGCAGCAGCAGAAGAAAAGTCAGTGCAGCCAGTCAAACAGTGCCACCAATACTATCCACATAGCACCTTTCCTCATTCAGGTCGTTTACATTACGTGAGGGATCTATTAAGTGTACTTTGTTAATCTTGTTTTGTGGCTGTGTTTATGGTGTTGACGTCTTTCCATTATCAGTGTTTGTTGTTTGTTTGCCTGTAAATGTCCACAGCGTCCCCCGCCCACGCTGGCCTCAATAAAGGAGGATCTGCAGAAGGGTGTATCCCCATGAACAGGGCACTGCACTATGTCATATGTCAATGCCACTGAGCAACATCTTTCTCCCATAGATGTGCCCTGCAGTGGTTTCAAATGAATGTGACTACCTCAAAAATGACACACAGTAAACATACATATTGGTGTACTGTTGAATTACTTTCTGTCCCTTACTGCATCAGCCAGTTGTAATGCGTCTTCTTGTTTGCGAGCGCTGCCTGCCAGTGCTGCTACTTCCGCCCGCCACCTTTGGTCTTCAGCTCAGAATGGATGATTTGCCTGTAAGGCCGCTATTGCCTTGGACGATTCTGTGATACTGTTTTGCTTCTCCCTTTGCCTTCACGTTTTGGCTATGGAGTGGATGGTGCCGGACATGCTGGATGCATTTGATTCCCTTGTGATGTACTCTGAAACAGGTCAGCAGCCTACTTGCCTGACTCATGTTGGGGTGACATCCATGCACATCTTCAATATCTGGGGTTTCACCCACCCCAACTGGCTCATGGTTGAACACCCTGAACCCTTATCTTGCACCACCTCTGGGCATGAACACGTCCCTGAGGCAGCCAGCCAATGGCCCAGTCGTTTCAGATATGCTACGAACTCCTTCTGCCAAAGAGGCTTGAACCACTGACTACTGTTAACCTGTCACCAGCCCTCCCAGAGGACAGGGCGATCCATGGCGCACGCCCAGACCACATCTGTTTGTTGCCCAATCTGTGGCCAATCTTTACCCAATTTGTGTCCATTCTGTGGCCAGTCTGGCCATTCTGTGGCCAGTCTGGCCATTCCGTGGCCATTCTGTGGCCAGTCTGGCTATTCCGCGGCCATTCTGTGGCCAGTGGGTGACACTTTGTTTGTTTCTGCGCTTGCAGTCGCCCCAAAGAGAGCGTTCCGAGCTTCATGCGGCAGACCACGGCGTCGCTCCTCAAGCGGGGCTCCTTCAACGACAGGCCAGACACGGCCTGGAAGCGTGGGGAGCCCCGCAAGCCGCGGAGGTATGCCATCCGTAGGAGGCCCCTGCGTGGCTTCGCGATCACAAGGGACGGCAAACGGCTCATCCGAAGAAGTGTGGAGGAAAAGCGCCGCAGGCAGAGAGCTAGGAGAGCCAGGATGGGGAAAAAGTTGGAGCCAAAGTCGCCCTGGGAAATGGGCGCAGCACGGTTTAGAAAGGAGGGCAAGGAAGTTTTTAGGGTGGCATCTTCGCCATACAGAGTTCGATCCTTGAGAAGTGCAAGGAAACGAAAGGCAGAGGGGGGTGCTGCTGAGGGGGCCCTGGCGAGCAGGACTGAGAGGTCCAGGGCTGAGAGTGTCAGGAGCCAGCGGTCCCGTGGGGCCATTGTTGCGAGCAGTGTGAAGAATGGGAAGCGGGAAGGCGGGGCGGCCAGGCTGGGTCGCTCAGTTTCTGCTGTCAGCCCATCCAAGCACCTGGCACCAGCCATGGGAAAAAATGGCAAAGTGCTGAGGGCATATCAGAGCTCTGTGGGGCCAGTCAGGCAACAGAATGGGATGGATGTGGGCAAGCAGAAACGTGGCCTTGCTGCAACGCAGCCCACTGCCAAGGAAGGTTTGGAGGCAGTCGGGGCTGATGGCCCGGACTGGGTGATTCACTGTGTTCGCCAGAGCCAGCCTGCCGTGGAGTTCGTGAACAGAAGTGTGCCCTTTGCGGCTCCCACACCTTTGGAAGTGCGTGATGCCAGCAGCAACAAAGGAAGTGAGAGGAGTGTGCAGGAGGGTAGCCAGACAGCAGCCCTTGCTGCGAACCTCATTCTGTTGGATGATGTGGAACCCCAGCATCCAGGGTCTGTGTCTGAAGGTGCTGCAACAAAAGGCAGTGATGCTCATCCTGGTAGCGTTGGGTACCTTGAAAGGGGTTTCGCCCAGGCTTCTTTCAGCAGAGCAGGATCACCGAGCCTGGCTGATGAGCATACAGATGGTCCAGTGGAGGCCAACAGTTTTGTGTCTGACATGCAAGTCAGGCGTGAGGAACACGACTTAGAGGCAGATGGGGGAGCTTGCATTATTCTAGGAGAAAAAGAGAACAAGGCAGGAAAGGGGAAATCGAACTTGGGGGGACTATTCCCTGTCAACAATGGGGAAGAAGAAATGAAAATGGCTGACGCCACAGAAGAAACCAGCAGCGAGGAACAGGTGGTGAGTGCGCTTGACAGAAACAGCAGCCCTGTGTCATGGTCTGAGAGTCCAAACTCAGCTGCATCAATGCCCAACAGTCCTTTCGGGGCTGTGGCCCCCGATGTCCCTGACATGGATGACGAGAAGACGACGCCACGTACACGTATGCGGCTGCGGCGCCAGCGCCGCGAGAACAGATTGGCGCGCATTTCTGAGCTGGCCCCCTTGTGCCAAGTCCCTGCAGACCACCAAGTAAATGGAGCTGTGCCGGGAAGGCTGGCGCCTGTTGCTGAGATTTCTGAAGTGACTGAGGAGGTCGCAGAGGCTCAGGCGAAGGAAGTGATACCCGTGATTGCCCCCCGGGAAGGCAGGGCCCTGAACAAGTCTCCGAAGGGTCGCAGCACTGCTAGACACAAGCACTGCTTCGTCACAGCTGGCGCTGCGGCGGTGGTGGGGTTCTTCTTTGGGCAGACTGACAAACTGGAGGGAAGGATGGAGGATGAGGTGCACATTGGAAGGATGTCTGTAGAGGAGGGTGGCCACACACAGTTGCACGACTGGATGTGGCACTCGGCGTCATGAGGCAGGAGCCAGGGTAACGTGGTACTGGTTCTGGGCGCCAATGGTGTTGATTGAATTTGCACTTGTACATTCTGAGCGATCCATGCCAGGCTGTGGCACACACTGCGCTCGTGTGATTGTTGGGGTGTCTGGCAATTGCTGCAAACTGGGATGCGTGAGTATGGGGGGCCAAGGGCAGCACAGGGCAGTGAAGTGGTCCTCCTGAGTGGGACCACATTGTTATGTGCAGCTCGAGCTGCAATGTTTGCAGGCAGGATGAGAAATTTTGCTGTGGGATAGCGCAGTCCCTTGTGAGCTGGCTCCGTGCTTGTCAGCCCACTGCAGAGGAGTCAGGACAGTAGGGTGGAGTTGGTTCGTGACATAGGAGCGGATGGTTGGATTGGAGCGGCAGCCTTCAAGGCCGTTCTTGTGTAACAGGACAGGAGGGCTCGCATTTGGGCATTGTGCCACACAGACCAAGGCGGTTTGGAGGAGGGTTGCACTCATGTGATGTGCTGGAAAGTGGAGGGGGAAGTGAAGCAATTGCACGGTGGCGGAAGGCTGCTGCAGGCGACACACGTTTCCTGCATTGGCGATGGACGGAAGGTTGTGGGACATAGAAATGAAGGTACTGTCCTCCCTCCCCACTATGAACCAGAAGGCGAAAGACGTTCGGCAGTATTCGAAATTGGACCCTGTTGGTGGCTGCCTAGTCCTTAGGGTTGTGGTGAGCGGCGCTGCACTTCTTAGTGCACCTTCTGGAGGCAAGCACAAGAACGGAAAGTAGCAGAGGTGCAAAGGAAGGGGAAAAAGATGTGCAAGGTAACAGAGCAGCAGGGGGAATCCGGCAGTGGGTGCTGGGCGTCTGGCAGGGTCCCGCTGGGTGCGGCTCGGGTCTCAACTTGTGCGTTGTTCACATGATAGACCCAGAGCCCCAAGTTGTGGACCTAGCCACCGCCCTCCAAGTATACGACACTCGCTAATTCGCGCATTGAAACCGTATTTGGACTCACCGACGCACACATCAATAACGGCACTCCATGCTGGTCACCATCCCTTATCATTCACTGCGCCTGTACTGCAAGATTGTAAGATGACTCCTGATTTCGAATAAGGCCATACGGCGTCGTGGTCGGGGTCTGCGACGTGCTGGGAACTGCGACGATAGTCCTAAACGAATGGTGGCACCCTGTATTTCTAATGTGTCAATCTCCAAATGCACAGGTGACAAATGGCCCAGTCAGCCCCTGCGCCGATCACACGATTCTAATGGTGCGATCGAAGAGATGAGCAGGTGTCGAACAGCTGCCTAACAGAATCTGTGCACAAGCTAGCCCAGTGAGGTCTATTTCAGTACATGCATCACCATGCGCAAGGCACCCCAGTGATACACGGTTCTCAGCAGCTTCGTTGCGCATTCCATTTCAAGCGGGTGATCTCAGTCTGTGCTGGAGGTAGGCTGAACAACGGCGCAACAAAGCCAGGAGCCCCTGCCAGTAGGTGTTGCTAACGAAAGCGTGCCAGTGTGCCAGCCGGTGAACTAATTGAGGCGGCGGCGATCGGAAAGCCAGCCCCACCACATTCTCGCCAAATCAGGGATGTCTGCGCCCATACCCAGGGAGGGTTGTCTGGGTACTGGAGCGCTGCAAGCTAGCGCTTAAGTACTACCAACTTCCTGGACTACTTCAGTAGTCTGCTTCAAGCAGACTGGTCCCCTGATGTAGCTTTTATGCGGCTCCGATTGGTGACTTTCCTTGATGTCCAAAAGGGCTTTTCAAGTCGGCCATGTCGAAGGCGGATGCCAGTCTAGAGACAGCGCTGGATTATGAGGATGAGGTTTACCACTTGTCAAAACACAACGGGCCCCGTATGCATAATACTGAAGCGTCATGCAACCAGCACCTTGACTCACTGATTGACTGGCTGCGCTCACACATGATCTGCGTATTGCAGCTGCAGCAGCCACATTGGTGAGGCAAAGCCGCACGCAGCTACGCACAGCCCAGGGTGCTCTCACCGAGAGGCTTTGTGGTGGCCAGAAGGGCGGATGTGGCCAACACTGGGAGATGTCAGCCAACTTCCACGTCGGAAAGAGCAGCTGAGTGACGCAGTAAGGAGCAAAGTACAAATTAAGGACACTGTGCAGAGACGTAACCAGCATATTTATGGAGGCCCCAAGACGCAAAATTCAGCAACCCGTGGTGCCACGCTGCATCACGCGTCCCACATCCATGCTGGGCACTGTCCATGTGACACACAGCACATGCATGCTGCCCATTTTCCCAGTCACCTCTCAGGCCTCGTTGACTGCATGCATCAAGAGTTACAGCAGCAACAGCACATTCAAAGATAAGTCACTGCCTCTCACACACTGCGCACTGTTGGGATCACAGGATTTCCATGATGACGTCGATGCTACCTCGGCAGAGCGGGCACACCCCTTTCTTGTTCTGCACCTCCATAGCGCATCCATAGCACATGCAAATATGCCCGCACGGCACGATGCACGCGCTCCGCCTTGCACAGAGACACACCATGCACTCTATGTCCTTCGCCAGGGTGTCACCCCCATCAGCTGCCTGTGCCCTCCTTGGTGCGCCATTCAAACTCACACTGCCGAGGGGTTCCGAGGAGCCTGGGGGGCTGCCCTGTGGTGATTCATCGCAGTGCCCATTTGCCTGCACATCCGTGTGCAGCTGCACGAGTGACGAGATCACAGCCTCCCTTTCCTGCACGAACTGTGCTCCACCCTCCTGCATCAGGGCTTCTGCCTTTGCCCACAGTTTGGGGTCGATGAGATTCTTAACCTGCTTGGCGTCCTTCAAAGCCATGTCTACTCGGTGGAGGTCCACGGGCGTGGTGCCAATTGCACCACACAGCTCCTCCCGAGCACCTCCTACCCTCTCCAGCCGGCCCATCACCTTCTTGCCCTGCTTCACGCTTATGCCCTCCTCCTCACACCGCTGCATGAGCTTCAAAAGAAGGTCCCTGTACTGTGCCTGCTTCTCCTCCTCCACGCACCTGTTCGCATCCTCCAAAATGACGTTCCAGTACGCCCTCAGCTCTCTTGGGTCCACGCTTTGTGCGTGTGGATTCAGTAAGTCCCAGCTGGACACCACAGATATTGGCTCAGCTTTTGGCTCCTGTCTGCTTGGGCATTCAGAAGCCTTGCGTGCTTTACGGTTCTTCTTTCGAGAGCTCAATTCCTTTGTCTGCTCGCCCCTATCTGGCGAATGGCTCCCCACATCGATTGATCGGCCAGGACATTCAGGTGATTGGCTTACGAGCGAACCACCGACCATGCCATCCACAGACAATTCATCAGTCCCTGAGCTCAACCCTGGGCCACTCCTCCGCCGCCTCCTTGCTTTTCTCGATTCTTTCTTTTTCTTTTGTGACAGTTCTTCTTCTTCCAGTTCACGCAACAGCCTTGCCATGTTTTGGTCCGCTTGTTCTGCGCCCCGCGATGCCAACCCTGTGCCCCCTCCCTGACTAGCCTTCAGCTTGTTCTTGCTGCGCCGCTCCCTCTCTTTGCGCAGCTCCTCCTTCACAAGGCATTTCTTAATGGCTTCAACCACATGCGTGCATCTATTGTGGCACTGCGCGAGCTCCAGCACAGTCTTACCATCCCCATCCTGATGGTATAGGGAGCTCCCATGCTCCGCCAGCAGATTAATCGTGTCCACATTGCCAAACATAGCGGCATGGGATAGGGCAGTCCGGCCCCTGCTATCTGTCACATTCACATCTGCACCCTCTTCAAGCAACACCTGGACAACTGCGTTCCGATTTGAGAATATGGCTATCATGAGTGCCGTCATTGCACCCTCATCTGCACAATCTATGTTGACATCTTCATGCTCAAGCAGGTAGCGCACAACTGGCACATGCCCGTTGCTAGCCGCGTACATAAGCGCGCTCCTCCCCCTCTCCGTCCTACCCCTGTTGCTCTGGTAATTCAGGTCTGCCAGCCAGCTCTCATGCAGGACCTTAAGGGCCTCCAGCTTTCCAAACTGGCTCGCCACAATCACCAGTTCTGAGGATATCTGTGTCATGATGTCATCATCGCAGTCCTGCTTGCTTAAAAGCTCCTCCATCTCCTCAATATTGCCCACCTGCGCCGATTTGCACAGCTTCAGCGCTGTCTTGTTCCACTTCTTCAGCTCCTGTTTGGTTGGCTCCTCTTCGCTGTCAGGCCCCACGCACAGCCATGTGGCTATGTCATTCAGCCGCTTCTCCTGGTCGTCAGAATCAAGGGAGCTCCCAAACCTGCACTTGGGGCACATGCAGCCCTCGTCACCCTCCATGCATGCCACCCTCTTCACGGCTGCCGCCTCAGACCTATGTCGAAACTTCTTGTTGCTCGCCATCTTGGGCAAAGCGTGTGCGCGCAGGGCACCCTGCAGGGTAAACCTGTTCTTGAGGGGGGCACCTGCGCCGTCATGCCAACAAGCGATTCCACACTCACTACGACAGGTGGCTGGTTGAGGGGCGCAACCATGGACACAAAAGATAGTTGTGAATGCAAAGAAGTGTGATGTGGCGAATTGAGCAAGGACAGCAGCAAGACAAGAAATGGATGGCAAGGACAGGGATAAGGACAAAGGGCAATGTCAAGGACAAGGTCTAGACACAGAGCAAGGACAAGCAACGGGCACAGACAGGTTGAATTTCATGAAGCCGCAGGCCCGACCAAGAGTCTCTGCTCCAAGCAAGGGGCCGAATAGGATTGAGGGAGTGTATATGCAGGGCGTGCCATGTTTGAAGGTGAAAAGGACACTGCCAAGGGCTGCTGAGGAACGCCGCGCGGCCATCGCGCTGGTCAACCGCATCTGGAAGGATCTCGAGAGGTTTCGGGCGGCTGGGCGCGGGGGCACTCTTTCCAGCCGAACACGCCCCACCCACGGCCCTTACGGTCCCACTCCTATCCATGGACAGGGCAGCACCTCACACGATCCTGCTTTTCGATTTTCGAGAATTGGGAACTCCCAGTCCCGGTCTGCATCCACATCGCGGTCCAAGGTATCGCCGATCAACGCCAAAAAGGGCGCACAGAGCCCTCGATTCCATCTGGAATGGGCAACACACGTCCGGCGGGAAGAACGCTCCTACAGCCCCCCGCACCCTCCACAGCACCGAGCGCACAGCAACAGATGCAGGGGGCACGCCACCGCAGGGCCACTGGGGTCTGACGGGTCCATCCAAATCGGCGCAAGCTCGGCCAGCGACTCAGTCAGCTTCCAACCCACAGAGCCTGACCTTGGAGCCCAGCATCAGGTGCACGAGCGGAGTCGCGGGCAGCGGCCTCCCTCCCTTCACGGCCCAATCCGAAAGAAAGACAACCCCAGAAGGTGTCGATTGACTTGCGGCTCCCAAGGGAGGCCCACCCCGCTCTGTGGTGTCCGTTGATCCCTCAGCTCTCGCCGATGTTGGTACCCGCTTCACGCAGCGGCAAAGGCGTTTCGCCCTCTCCAACAGGGGCCGCCCATCGTGTGACATGTTCCCATCCTGTTCCCAGGGCAGTTTCGAAAGACCCGGGCCACCAAGGGGCGCCAGCCTCGCCCGTGCTCAGTGCGATTTCTCGCATCACCATTCCAAGCGCTCCCCCCTTCGTCACTCTGGGGTCTGAGGACGATTTTCCCAATCGTGCTTACCTTGAAAACCTCCGGTCCAAGTCTGCTGGACCTGTGCCGCGGGCGGGGTGGTCCAAGAAAGAGGATTGTCAGGAGTCCTGGTGGGGCCACTGGGAGCCCTGTGGCGTGACGGGGGCGGGTGGGGCTGGGCCGCTTGGTGTGGAAACGGGATGGAACGGCAGCCCGAAAAGTGCGGGCGGGGGGTCGCTCTGGGACCTTCGCGGGGGGGCTGACTACTAGCGCCCAGGGCGTCCAGCGAATCGGCACGTCAGCAGTGCCTCACCCATCAAGATTCCGCTGCCAACAGGTTTTGGACCGAAAGTTTTGGAGCCTGCTCGAGCTACCGCAAAATGGACTGTAATTTACAGCCATCTTTGCCTATTTTGGTACTCGTTCAGTCCGCAACCACAGCCAATGACCTCACTAAATGGGATGGCCCGAGTATGCCACCATTTCAGTCATAAAAGAATGGCATTTTCAAGTGATGGAGGGGGATTTACCCCTGTGCTTATGCACTATATGCAAGGGAAATTGCCACCCAATCCGCAGAACATTACAATAGTGGGGCCGCTTTGACTGAATCAAGCCAGTACGAGGTAGTATAGCATAGTAAGGATGCCAGAAAAGTAGCGTGGTGTATTTTGTCATGCCGGCAGGGCGCCTACAACACTGCGGTATGCCGACAGGACCGGCACGAACAGTCAAGAGGTCCCATTAGACGCAAGGGACATGGCTACAAAGGACGCGGCAGGATCAGTGCGCGGGGCCATCTTGCTTGCATGCCCGGTTGCGTAAGGATGCCGAACAGCACGACAAGAGTTGCGTGACCCTTGGCAGTGTGGCGTTGCGAGCTTGAGTGGGAGCTTGCACATGCAGGCTACTGGGTGACCGAGTGGCGAGTGGGACGGCCACTGGATGGGCACCCTGACTGGAAGGTCGCATGCTCCGTCCGGCGTTACAAGACCATGGAAGTCCACGAGACGGTCTTCCCCTCATTGTCCAAGTATGTCGAGCCTTTGCAGAGCGATTTAAGAGCAGGACCAGGAAATGCAGAGGGCGCGCAATTGTGGCGTGAACACAGAGGTTTAGGCTGCACAGACATGGGTGGAGCCATTGTCCGAGGAGTTGCATGCAGAAGTGAACAACAGGACTGCACGAGCCGCGGCACGCCGCTAGAGGCAATACGAGGCTAGATGGCTGGCGTGGTTTTCGGCTCGATGCGCGGGCGATGTGCCCGCTGCGGTGCCCAATCCGGCCCGAATGGGCCTCCTCCGCTGAATGACGGCGGGCGGTCCGGGGCGCTCGTTCCTTCGGGGTGCGCAGTGTGGGCCCAGTCCTGCGATTGGCCGGGCGTGGGGCGGCAGTGCGCGCAGTGAGTGCGCGACGCCGGTGCGGCTCGCGGGTGCAGCCGCGCGGAGGCGACTGGTCAGCAAGAGTTACAACCGTCGGGCATCAGGGCCACCCTTTGGCGTGCCCCGCATCACGTGACAATGCAGACAGTGTCACCGTATCGATAGTATCTTATCCCCTAGTACGGTTGCGGAGGCATCCTTAAGTACTGTAATTTTTAGTAGCTATATCTCTACTACCGCTAACCCAAATGGAGTGATTCAAAAGCCTATAGGTTTCTAGTAAGCTCAACTAAAGGATGAGATTGTTTATTAATATTCATTGTACATCCAGATACCCATAACCAAGGAAACACACTACCCCCTATGCTTTACACCACAGTACTCCCCCCTAGGGGTAGTTTCGCCCTCGAAACGTCAGGCTAACCAGTGGCCTTAATTATCCTCTACTAGTCTATCCCTCTTGATCATTTTTTTAAGCTCCTCCTAGTAGGTAAAGTTCTCCAAGTGGTCCAAGTGGCATCATCCAATGAATAGTCCTTCCAGAGGACCAAGTACTCCTTCTGCCATTTGGTACTAGGACTGGTCCACCGCCAACGCAGTAATCTCTCAACGTCATATGGCTCATCATCCTCGGGCTCAATCTCCTCCACCTGACCAGATGTAGTGGGTTGCATCTATGAACTAGTCCTAAAAGGACGCAACAAGCTGACGCGGAACACATTGTGTATTTTCCACGTTTTCGGAAGATCAAGTTCATAGGCCACCTGTCCCACCGAACGGACAATAAAGAATAGGCCAACGAACCTCTTCTTCAGCTTGCGGATCGGTGCATTTTTCAAGTTGAGGTGCTCTGTTGAGAGCAGCACCTGATCCCCACTACTGAACCACTGTTCCCTTCTCTTCTGGTCACCTTGTGCTTTCATGCGATCTTGAGCCCGGTGCAGAAATTTGACTGCTGTTGAGAAATTCCTCTTCATCCGCTCTACAAACTGGTTGACTCCCTCAATGAGAGTAGAGTCACTATCATGGATGAGGTCTACCAGAGTACACGGATGGAAACCATAGTTCAAGTAAAACGGTATGTACCCGGTCGCCTGCGTTGGACTGTTGTTGATCACAAACTCGACGGTGGACAACAGCCGCTCTCGGCTTGATCCATCCTGCCCGGCGTGTAGAGTGCAGCATAAAACCATCTCCACCACCCTGTTCATTGCCTCTATTTGACCATCTGTCTGTGGGTGGTAGGCGCTGGACATCCTCAATGAACTTCTCAGAATGTTCCATAGCTCGTGCCAGAACGTGGACACAAAGCATGGGTCTCTATCACTCACAATGGAACGAGGGATTCCGTGCAACTTTCCCACAGTGCTCCAGTAAAGTCGGGCTGTGACAGCAGTTGTGATCGTCTGCTTGACAGGCACCAGATGCACCATCTTTGTAGCCCGATCCACCATTGTGAGTATCCCGTCGGTCCCAGCTTCTGACTTTGGTAGACCCATGATGAAATCCAAGCTGACGTTGGCCCATTTCTATCCTGGGAGTTTTAATAGCTACAAAAGTCCAGCGGGGACACGGTGGACAGCCTTCTCCTGCTGGCAAACTGGGCACCCCATCACAAAGTCCCGAATATCCAGGGTATGCTCAGGCCAGTAGAAAGTCTTCTGAATATTCTTTAACGTTTTGTGGTAGCCCAGATGTCCTGAATAAGGGACCTCATGTAGTTCCCTCATTATCTGCTTTTTGATATTTGAGACATCTGGCACCACCAGCTGCCACTATGTCTTCTGGGTTTTATCGCTAATTCTCACTTCCAGCAATCCCCCTGTAATCTGGAAGGATCGATCTCCAATTATCAACGCATTGTTCTTGGCAGATTCCAGTTGGGAAATAATATCCCCTCTCTCATGCTTCTCACCAATGAAATGTGGGACTTGGCAACAAAAAGTGAAGGTCCAAACTCATCCTCTTGACCCGCGACTTGGGTCACCTCCAGTCTGTTCTTTGCAAAAACTTGATACAATTTTCTTTGGATCCCATCGTTAGACTTGTCCTCTTCAAGTAGCAACCTTTTTACCAATGACTCTTCTTCCTCTTGGATGTGGACCATCTCCTTCACGTCCCTTAGACTTGTGCGTGAGAGGAAGTCTGCGGGGTTTTTTTTCATTGGTATATGAACCAGGTCACAATCGTACCCCTAAAAAACCTGAACCCACTTCCAAATCCACTTGTTCACTGAAGGTTGATTGGCCAGGTTCTTTAAAGAGTCATGGTCAGTCTAGACGGTGAAGTGACGACTGGTAAGGTAATGCCACCACTTCCCCATGGACTATATGATCCCCAACAACTCTCACTCATATGCACTGTATCTTGTTTCAATAGGGTTTA